AAACAGTTATGAACGTATAATTTAATTTTTAACATCAAGCAAATAATTAGGCAGTTTGCAACTTAACACGAAATAGTTTTGTGTAATTAATAGTAATTAGAGATACAAAGCATACATTGTGTGGCCGTGCGAGCTGGGCCTGGCTCCCAGGTTCCCTCCAACGTTGGATATATTTCACACTCTCTATGAATAACACGCATTAAAATACCTCACGTATCTTTATTGAACATAAAGAATACCAGAGCGTTCTCTTGGCCCCGTTCGGTGATCATTTCACCATTGTTTATGGCCGTAAAATTTGACACGTTGTTCACATAATGTTTAATGGTACAATTTGTCAGTAATAAGAGCGGCAGTACGTACGAGTGAGGTGATAACGTCGAGATAGCGTTGCGACTAAATCACGTTATCAGTACGCGATAAGCAGCGCGGCGCGGCGCGGTGCAGCGCGGCCTGTGTTTATGTGCGCGCCGACGACGAGGAGTTTGATTGATGGCGCATTGCCGCATTATCTACAGACATTAGGTCCTGCCGGGCATGCCGGCGAGTTATGGAACCAATAAAAATGACATACGAATGACACGTAGCGGAGCGCGCGGCTCGGCCACGCAGACATACTTGCTACAGTATTTACATCTACCTCATAGCTGTGGCATTCGGTACTTACTCAGCTAGCAGGCTATAGGAGGTACACAGGTACCTAGCTAGCAGGTACCAACTTTGCTCTACTTACGTTACGTAACTGCTTAACTGTATTTGATTATTGTTCATAAATCGCAATTATGTATTTATATTTTTGATTTATTGTATTGTATTAATATATTGACGGCACAGTAGGCGCGGTGGCTGGGCAACTGACTGCCACTCAACTTGTTGCGGGTTTGATTCCTGCACGGAACAACTCTTTGTGTGATCTACATATTGTTGTTTCGGGTCTGGGTGTAATGTGTACGTGAACTTGTATGTTTGTTAACGCACCTACCACACAAATAAAAATCACAACTCCTTTATATTAAAACCACTATGTTAAAATGCACTTTAATAAAGAAACTCTTAAATGGTCGTGGTAAATATGATACAAATGAACAAGTAGGTAAGGCTATTCATGAAAAGATGTCAATATCGCTATAAGCATTTACAGTAAAGTAAGTATAGCTGGCTGTTGTATAGCTGGTGTACAGATAAGGAGGATCTTAATAATTATGAGTCCCTATAGTTGCACTGTGCATTACATTTCAACTCGATACTACTAAGATAGAGTTGACAAACAACCGAATAAGTAAAGGAAGAAAATTATCACAAGGTTGCGTGCTACGCACCTCCCTGCTACGAGGGAAACGGAAAATATTGAACGAATTGAACCCTTATGTCAAAGCATTAGGTTTATTATAGCATGGACAAGGACAGATTGACAGATTACCTTCTAGTAGCTAGATAGATACATCTATTGGTACATAGTATATTTATACATAAGTTCTTGATTGTAGCTACCTACATACATAGCTCCGTACGTACGTACTTAGCTATTTATGAGCCATAAAGGTTATCCACATTTTATTCCTTTTGTGGCAGCATACTGAAGTAATCACAATCGGAACACTGTAAATGTTCATTAATCAAGTGCCAACTTGACTGATTCAATGTTTCAATTCGTTGAATCCTTTGCAAATGTACGAGTATTGTTGTAGTACCTATTACCTAGTACAACTGTACCGCAGTACGCACGGCAACATCACACAAACTACGACAGTGAGTAGTACCGTCTTTACCATAAGGGCGCAATCGGGGCCAGTGCCCAGGGCCGCATCCTCAGGTCAGGGGGCCCCGAACGATCGATATCTCTACGACGGACACACACACCGTTTTCTACAACCCCTGCCCCGCAACGTGTAGCGGGTTCAAGTCCTGTACGGAGCTAATCTTTGTGTGATCCACAAATTGTTAATTCAGGTCTGGGTGTCATGTGTAATGAACTTGTACAAATAAATTGTAAATGCACCCACGAATCACGATATAGGAGAAAATTCGAGTGTGGGGCAACGTTAAAAAAAAAGAAACATTCCGCAAGGCTTCGAATTATAACTAGTGCTTAAGCGTAGTCTAAGTCGGCCCTGCAAGGAGGCACTAAGAGAAGTATGTTATGGTTACGTTCGACACAATTCCACATGCGGACTGGTGGCAGGAGTGGGTCGGTAGCCGGGTGCAGGTAGCCGGCGTGTCTCCGCCACTAATTACTCAAGCAGTGGCAGTGCGGCGGCCACCCACCGCGCCCGCACTAGATTCCACGCCCGCCGCGTATTTTACACCCTAATTAAGCTAATTTATCGGGACAATAAGAGAAATTATTGGTAGCGAGCCCGCGGTTACTGCCCGCTTTATGAGAGGTATTAAATTGTTGAATTTAAGAGCGCTACCGAGCTACACGGCCGCCACTGCGGGCCCGAGCCTTCGCTTTGATGCCCCAATAAATATACAAAAGATCCCATCAGATAACCGGCGAATGGAGCCGCTGTCGATTCCGCCGCTCTTAATGAAAGCCACGCCGAGGAATGTCGTGGACAAAGCCTTAAAATGCTAATAACACGAGCACGACACAGGGGCTGCGCGCCGCCGCCCGCGCCGCCGCCCGCACCTCTAGAATGTGTTCTGATAACGAAGGTGCCAATCTCGCAGGTGGACAGATTAAATGAGTATTTTATGGCAGATTAAGTAAACATTTTTTCCTTGATGGGTGTTTTATAGCCCGCCGGCGTGTGGGCATGCGCTCCTTGGAATGTTTTTACAATTATAGCTACCTACCTCGCTCCCGTTGAGGTACACCGCTATTAATTTTAAAGGTCTTTAATTGGTGCTTATCCATCGAATTAAAATACTAATTACATTTCTCCAAATTTTATACATATGTTGGTTGATAAAATACTTGCGTGTATATTATTTATATTTATGTAGGTACCTACCTAGCAGGTAACACGTAAGTACCGTCACGCTTGTTACTCAGAGATTTATTTATAGGGTCATGTTTTGTAGTATCGGTCTCAACTCGACTCTCGACTAAACATACATGTGAGAAATAAACCGTTAATCTTAATATCATCTTAACATACCTACATATCTACCTATTTCCGCAATACCCAATGTTTAAAAACCTTATGTTTCAGGGTTTTAGCTAAATAATGTAGGTAGTTAGCTACCAGAAGTAAAATATTCAAACACAAATTTGTAAGCAACACAACAAGTTGTTAAATAAAAATAGGTACTCATCTATATAGTTACCCACTTTTATCTAATATTGACTTTCCACAAGTTACTCGAATGGTTCTCGTTCCTGTGAACTATCAGGACATGAAATAGCCTCTATGTAACACCCTGAATGTTTTTCATTTGTCACATTTTCAGCATCCAACATGATGAAACACGAATACACGATGGGTAGTGGTCAATTGCCCAGTACAATTTAAATTCACAGGTCACAAAAGGTCAGTGAATTATAATCAAGATTAGAATAAAAAAAGGCCTACCTACTTCCGACGCGGCCGAGGCGATCGAACACATTACACGAGCTTCGTAAATTAATGACAGAAATATCTTACACTGAGTTAAACCGACTAGGTATGTACCAGGTACCTAGATATTTTTCTTTATATTATATTAAAGCAAATAATTTTGAGAGTCAATTGAATATGATGCGCCATCTATGCCCTCTGCATTTAGTTTAGGTGGATACCCACACATTATCACATGGAAAGAATGAGCATTTCTTTCCTAAGAATTTCTGAATAAGGCTAAGTAGGTAGGTAGCTACATACTTTCGCCTTTTTGAAACATTATGTCTATTATTAGGTAAATGAATACTTCACTACCTACTTTATGGGACCTAACTGGGCAATTGTTTTTCATCTTCTCCCTTTCTGCTTGCTCTTATTTCATACATACTAAGTGCATATTTATTTAAGGACCGAAATAGGTACATATAAGAAAAAAAAAAGCATCATTATATACGGTTAAATTGAGAACCCCCTCCTTTTTTTGAAGTCGGTTAAAAAGCAGTGTGTCGATGTGCACTTTTGGGATGATGAGGGTATGAAAATTAAAAATATAATTAGTATTTTTTTATTTTGTCGTATTATAAAACAATACTTAGATAAAAAGAATAAAAGTTTAGGAGTGGGGGATAAAACTTCATTTCTACGTATAAAATGTAGGTATGTAGGTACATAGAAGTGACGTCATGCGGCATTTCAAATTAATATATCGTCGAAAGTATTTGTTTCTGTAAGAAAATAAAAAATACGTGTCTAATGATTTAAAATAATCTACAATACGGACATTAAAATAAAAATTAGGCATCTACCCTATTACAAACTTCTATCGCATTTTTTCTATCATAACTATTTCACGATTTAACAATTTTTAAGTAGAAATGTTGAAAACAACAATTTATTTGTCCATACGACACGAAACAGTCATCGAGGCATAAAATAATTATTTTATATAAACTACGTTTTTAGAACCGACTTGAACCCCCTCTATTTTTGATATGTTACTGCTAACGCCATCTATTGCACAAATGAGATTCAAGACCGTTTGCGTATATCTAAGTTAAAGTGAAATGAAGATAGAAAATGTATTTAAGTGCTGTAAGTGTGTGAAATTATTGATGTTTGAAATAATTACCTATTTATTACTTTTTGTAGCTATTGCTGAGTTTAGCTACTTCGCGGAGAACCTAACGGGTAACCGGGGCTCCGGCTCGACGTGCAGGAGAAGGAACGGGGTGGTTTTTAGACAGTAAGAGTCTGACACTCCCTTCCGCCTCACCCAGGCGGGAGCAGTCATTCGATGATTTTCCCCCTTAAAAAAAAAAATGTCATAGATTCTACTTTAAGTTGTCCACTGTAGTGTATAGATGTCACTATTATGTTTTCAGAGAACGTCTTTTATTTCTAGTAAGTTGTCATTTGAATGTTTATTTTTATCCGTATTTTAAATTGTTTCTATTTATTTACCTAATTACTGGATTGTGTTAAGGTAAATATTTAATAACCATAGTACGTTAAACGGAAAGTCATTGCACCATGTTATTGACAATGTCATGCGTCATGAATGTCATTGTCATTTGTCATCTTGTTGTCACATCAGTCAAAACTAAAAGTTGAAGCGCATCATTCGCCTGTTGTTGTTAGTTGTTACAGATTTGCGCTGTATTATTAATAATAGACACCGGCTTGTAGAAGATGTGCTGTCTCGATGCCGATGACTAGCATTAACGTTGCGGAATGGTCCGTGGAGCAGGTTGCGGACTGGCTGTCGGGTGAGTGGCTGCGGCCGGTGTAGTGGAGAGCGGCGCGAGTGTGAGTAGTGCGAGTGAGTCACGGGTGTTGTCGGCAGGGCTGGGCCCCACCGTGGCGCGCTACGTGCCGGCGCTGCGCGAGCGAGGCCTGGACGGGGCCAAGCTGCTCACTCTGCGCTGCGATGACCTCGAGTACCTCGGGGTGCACGTCATCGGACACCAGGAACTCTTACTCGAGGCGGTCGAGCATCTCCGGAACTTTGTGAGTCAATTGTGGCACAATTTGTTTGTGTACTGTATTCAAGTAAAATAGTTTTGTCTGTAGGGAAACAAGATGAGTCATTGGGGAGCAAAACATTCCCACTTATCTGAGCAATGTTATCTGTTAGTGGGCACAGCTAGGGAGCGGTGTCCTGATTGCGTGGGTATATATATATGTGTGCAGCACTTCGAGGTGTCCCGCGAGTGCGTGGGTATATATATGTGTGCAGCACTTCGAGGTGTCCCGCGAGTGCGTGGGTATATATATATATGTGTGCAGCACTTCGAGGTGTCCCGCGAGTGCGTGGGTATATATATGTGTGCAGCACTTCGAGGTGTCCCGCGAGTGCGTGGGTATATATATTGATGTATCCAACATTATTTATTTTAGGCATGGTGGGGTACAATGAGTTAAGGGTAAGACGGGATTTTGCACTCACCTCACATTTGTTTAAAATATTAAGAGGAAAGCTGCACAATGCAGTCATTTTAGGACAGCTGAATCTATGTGTTCCGGATAGGTACGTGTGGCGACGCCGGCGACCGCCACTGCTGGCAGAACCCCGCGGTCGGACCAACCTATTAAGGGAAGCGCCGCTGACGCGTGCACTTCGCACGCTCAACCTGATTTCTAATGAAATTGATTGATTTCTAATTAAATCTCCTTTAAACACCAAGTTCATGAATTTTACTTAAAATCGCTGCAACGCTAGGTCTAGGTCTTCGTCGATATATATTTATTTATGTATTTATACCTATATATTTTATGCATATGACTATATATACTATTTACTATTATGTAATATATATGTATAGCTATATTATTGAATAATTCCCTTTTTATTTATTTTTTCCTCTCTCTCCCTTTGCTGTTAGTTTATTCTCCGTACCTTATTTTTCGCAGATTTTCTATTTAAACCCTAAGGTTGACTGGTAGAGAATGCCATATGGCATTAAGTCCGCCTTATGTGCCATATTAAAATTGTGTACATTAAAGATTAAATAAATAAATAAATAAATTGACCTATTTTGTTGTACTCTGGGTGAATTCACAAGGAATGCATTATATGTAATATGTTATAGGTAGATATTAAGATGAGCACATTTATCGCATTGGGCATTAACCTGTAATGATAAATGTAAGTGGAAAAACAAATAAATAAAAATAAAAAAAAAATGTGTGCAGCACTTCGAGGTGTCCCGCGAGTGCGTGGCGCGGCTGGCGCTGCGCGTGTCGGTGCTGGCCACGGGGCTGGCGCGCAGTCTGGCCGCGCACTGCGACGCGCGCCTCGAGACACAGACGCTGGCCGACGTCGCCTCCACTGTACACGCTGTCAAGCCCCTCGTCTGCTGGCTCGACAGGTAACACATATCAATAACCTACTGTTAATATTCACACCAAACCACATTTCTCAACCCTATAACTAAGATTAACTTACCCAAAAAAAATATATAATTATTATGTTTTTGGATTACTCACGGAACTATTTGCTTCAAGTGAAAGTCACAGCATTTATTTCAATTAAACCATAATTTGGTACTATTGAAACGTCAACAAATACAAAATAAATAAATAATCTGTCAGTCAGTCCATCAGTGAAGCTAGGTGAAGCTACATTCCAAAATGTAGATTCGAATGGAGAAGAATGAGCAAGAAACTCCATTCATTACTCTTTTTAAACAAGTATGTTCTACAATGTCTCTGATACATATTCTAATACTGTACGTATATGTGAGAACAATGCAAAGACACACTTGACGCATTATATAGGTATTAATTACAAAACTTACTAAAATAAAAAAAAATAAAAAGTCTTCAATCAATCAAATCAATCAAATCATTTATTTGCATAATACAGGTATAAAAGATGTTACATATGGATATATAGTGCACTGTCTCATTACCTAAATAGATGTGCAAATATTTATACAGTCTTTAACCCTTAGAGCGCCACATCAGTCACCGGTGCCTGACGCTAGTGGAGGTTTGACTTTCACCATTTTAAACTTGGCAGTTAAAGTATTAAGCAATATTTTTTTCTAATTACATATATAATGTAATTATACTTACAATAATATTACAAAATTATAGAAATGTCAAAGGATTAAAACATACAGAATGTCCAGTGAGTTATAATTGTTCATGTCATGGTCAATAAATTAAATCATATAACAATGGTAGATTAATAATAACATAAAAATTATATAAATTAATAATTACATAAAATTTGGTACATAAAATTTACTACTGTATGTCACACTACTTGTTGGAAAAATAAACTATCTATATCTTTATCCTGTAGGTACTCCTTGACACTATAATAACATTTAGTTATTAGGAGTTTGTGTAGCTTCCGCTTGAATTGGTTAAGAGGCAAAGTTTTGACAGAATCGGGCAGTTTGTTATAAATTAAAGATGCCATGCAAAGAATACTTTTATTAATGAGTGCTGTTTTCCCATAAGGTATAACAACTTCTAGTCTTTTTTTATCTCGCAATTGTCTATAATAGCTTTTATAAGCAGTCTCAAAGTAATTAGGATTTGATTTCATAAAAATATTAAGTTCATAAATGTATAACGAGGGAAATGTCAGGATTTTTAATGATTTAAAATAGGGTTGACAACTAGTAGTGCTGTCTACATTACACATGGCTCTAATGCATTTCTTTTGAGATTTAAATACATATTCCTTATCCACTGAGTTGCCCCAAGATATAATACCAAATCTAAGGATAGGTGCAACAAGTCCATGATATGCAGCTAATACAGCTTCTTTATTGACAATTTTTGTCAGTTTGTATAGAGCAAATGAGGATTTATTAATTCTTTTGCATATATTTTCTATATGTGGTTTCCATGACAGTTTATCGTCTATTGTTATTCCCAGAAACTTTGCATCTGTCACGGGATGTACAGTGTTACCTTGGTAACCAACATTTATATTTAATGGTTTATTTTTTTGGCGAAAGTGAATGATTTTAGTTTTTTCCATATTTATTTTTAGATTATTATCGTTTAACCATTGTATAATCGTATTTAATGTTTGGTTAACTACATGTTCATAATCAGTCTCTTTTTCACCCCTTATTATGACCGTACTATCATCTGCAAACAAGACCATTGGTTGATTTATATGGTTAGGCAGATCATTGATATATATTAGAAACAGTAGAGGCCCGAGAACACTTCCTTGTGGGACTCCAAATTTTATAGTTTTTGTGTTCGATTTATGCTTAATCTCGGTTCGTGTTTTCTGACATATTTGTGTTATTTCTACTATTTGTTTTCTATTGTGCAGATATGAAAAAATGAGGTCTAACGCTTTGCCTCTTATGCCATACTTGCTTAATTTTTGTAAAAGTATGTTGTGATCGACTCGGTCAAATGCTTTACTCATGTCCATAAAGATGGCACATGTTGGTATTTTTTTGTCCATGGCTAACAAAATTGTTTTTAATAGATCATAAAGGGCCATATTTATTGATTTCCCTTTACGAAAGCCTTTCTGTTCGTCTACCAGAATATTAAATTTTTCTAAATAACTATAGAGGCGACTATATATAATTTTTTCAAATTTTTGAGAAAATGGGGATTAACGCTATGGGCCTATAATTTCCCATTTTCCGTCTATCTTCTTTTTTGTGTAGTGGAATGACAATAGACGTTTTAAGTTTTTCTGGGTACATTCCGTTAGAAATGCATAGGTTAATTATAACATAAATGAGCAGAAACATACGTGGATATATATTTTATGACTTTGGTACAGACACCATCGTGGCCGACGCTATGGGTATTTGTCAGTTGCATTATTTCTCTGTTTACTTCTATAGGTGTTGTAGGAGTAAGATAAATTGAATTGGTTTTAGTGTAAATTTTGTGATTGCAGGGTTGGGTTTTGTTTTGTCCATCATTTCTTCTATTATTTGTTTGATCTGGTTCTGAAGCTTGGTTAATGAAGAAATCGTTAAAATTATTCGCAATAGATTTAGGATCTGTAATTTTTATGTCATCTTTAAGTATTTCTGTAATAGGCTCTTTGGGGAAGTTATGTTTGGACTTGTTTATAATTGACCATGTCGCTTTTGCTTTGTTTTGTGATGTATTTATGTAGTAATTGTTCTGTGATTTCTGTGTTAGAGATATTACTTTCTTAAATCTAGCTGCGTATTGCTTAAATCTATTTTTATTTATTTGTGTTGGATGTACTCTATACTGCCATAGCATTTTCCTTTTCATTCTACTACAACTTTTAAGTCCCTTTGATAACCATTTTGATTTTTTAGTTATCGATTTTGTAATCATTTTGTAAGGAAAACATAGGTTATAGAAACATAATAAAATAATCTATCTATAAAATAATTATAGGCTTCGTTCGCATCATTTGTATTGTAGATTTCACTAAATGACAGGCTATTTATGCATTTTTTAAATTTGATTATGTTGTCAGTACTATAGTCCCGTGTTCTAATACGCCACGATTTTATCACGCAGGTTTTTTTGACGGGGCATTGTAATAGTTGAGCAGTGTGATCGGACATGCCAAACTCAATTATTTCACTTTTGCATTTACGAAAGTTGTGTGCAAAATTGTCAATACAAGACATACTGCTGAGCGTCGTGGCATTTCTTATTTCTAGTTTTAAATTGTGACTTTCCAAAAGATATTCAAAGTCTAGAGTGATGCGGTTTCGTTTAAGTATATTTATGTTAAAGTCTCCGCAAAGAACAATTTTCTTGTTCGAATTGTCACATATCTGGCGTAATAGTTTCTCTAAATTATCGTAAAATATATTTATACATGAATTTGATACTCTGTATATACAGACTATTATGAGTTCATGATCAATTAGTTCTATGGCGCAACATTCTACGATGCCTTTAATCGAACAATGATTAGTGTCAAGTGATATGTATTCCTGTCCAATTCTAGTAAGTATACATGCCCCTCCCCTTTTGACGTCTCTAGAATAACTTGCTGCTAGGCGAAAATTTGGTATGTCAAGTGTGTTTTCCTGATCGGTGGTCATAAAGTGTTCGGTTATACAGATAATGTCAATGGGTTTATCATTTTGTGCTAATTCCTCTAAATGTACCGTCAAAATATCAGATTTGTTTACGAGGCCTGCTATATTTTGGTGGAGTATACGTATACTATTATAGAAGAAAAAACTGTGGATTTTGCGCATTCGCTTCACTGGTCAAATCATCAGGAAATAATTCAATGTCAATTTTAATTCTATTCATAATGTCCCTAAATATGCATTTTATTCCATTTTTATTTAATCTGCCTGATACATTCGAAAACATGTCAAGTGTTAATCCATGGTTGGAGTCAAAAAAATACGCATACTTATTATTTTGGATGTCCAAACAGAGAAGGTTATTATAGTATCTAGTAGTAGTAGCTTATAGTCTAACATGGTGCTCACATATGCATACTGACAATCTATAAAAATAGTGCTTCTATACAAGAAAAAGGAAACTCTTTGTTTGCTGAGGAACTCAACTTAGTATGTCTCACCAAAATTATAATATATATAAACATAGGTGAAAATTTAATTATAATAAAATATTATTAGTCAGAGTTGTCACGTCGCTCGATAGAGGGTGGTAATATCGAGATAGATCGCGCTATGGTTTCGTTACATCAATTTGGTTAGGTTGCTCGTCAAACCTGACGTTGGCGAGTACAACCAGCGCCCCTAGCGGGAACAAGGAACAACAGAAGTGAATAAATAGTAAAAGTAAAGGTGGTGTTTTGTGTTGTTCTCCAAATCCCTCGCAAGCCGACCCTCTGTCTTCTTCAATAGGTATTATTGTTATAAACATGTAATGTCACTTCCTATTATTATGGTAAAATTCTATTCTCCGGTATGTAAAAATAAACAGGTGAATGTGTCACTTGGCCACTGTAATTTGATGTGGAAGGAAGACAAACTGACTAGGTAAAGAATAATAATAATTTGATTAGTGTACACATAGCACAACAATAAGCATTGTAAAGTGTAGTGTTGGCGTGTGTAGATGGTCCCTGTGCGGCAGTGGCCTGTCGGAGCGCAAGGCGGCGCTGCTGAAGTTGTCGCTGGAGGCGGCCACGTGCGCCCAGCGCGACCGGTTCGCGGAGCAGCCCGCGCGGGCCGTCGCCGCCGCCGCCGCCGCCACCGCCGCCACCGCCGACTACATCATACAGGTAGTACACTACATGCGACCGGTTCGCGGAGCAGCCCGCGCGGGCCGTCGCCGCCGCCGCCGCCGCCACCGCCGCCACCGCCGACTACATCATACAGGTAGTACACTACATGCGACCGGTTCGCGGAGCAGCCCGCGCGGGCCGTCGCCGCCGCCGCCGCCGCCACCGCCGCCACCGCCGACTACATCATACAGGTAGTACACTACATGCGACCGGTTCGCGGAGCAGCCCGCGCGGGCCGTCGCCGCCGCCGCCGCCGCCACCGCCGCCACCGCCGACTACATCATACAGGTAGTACACTACATGCGACCGGTTCGCGGAGCAGCCCGCGCGGGCCGTCGCCGCCGCCGCCGCGCCACCGCCGCCACCGCCGACTACATCATACAGGTAGTACACTACATGCGACCGGTTCGCGGAGCAGCCCGCGCGGGCCGTCGCCGCCGCCGCCGCCGCCACCGCCGCCACCGCCGACTACATCATACAGGTAGTACACTACATGCGACCGGTTCGCGGAGCAGCCCGCGCGGGCCGTCGCCGCCGCCGCCGCCGCCACCGCCGCCACCGCCGACTACATCATACAGGTAGTACACTACATGCGACCGGTTCGCGGAGCAGCCCGCGCGGGCCGTCGCCGTCATACCGAATTTCACTCAAATAAGTTCAATAGTTTAAAAGATAGAGAGACCCCGAAGTTGAACGAAGTTTGTCCCGTGGGATTTCTGGGATAGACCAATCATACATCATTTCCAGCATCAGCGTCTCAAACTTTCATTGAAAAGAATTTAAATCAAATAGGTTCACTGGTTATGAACATCATTATTCGGCATATCTTTGCACGGCTCTTTGCATACCTTAATGTAATATCAAGATAACAAAAAAAAAAAAAAAAAAAATTTTATTTTTATTATTTATTATGAAACTTGGATGACAAACAAAAAAATTGTCAGGTAACATAGAAAGGTATAGTAGTTATGTTTCTGCCACTGACAGAGGGTGCAAATGAAAACTATAATCATTAAACCAAGTTTATTATAATTAAAATTACATGTTAACTCTTAAAACCTAACTAACCTAAGAGCGAATTCGTTCGATATTAGAACAACACTGCTTTCTTATCTTAAATTTCTTTATTATAAAATTAGTATGACGGTTTTATTGAGGTTAAATCTAGTGGGGTGATCGATGATGTAGCGATTCGTAGCTGGGCACAAGGCGGCGACAAGAGGAGACGACTCAGCAGTTCGAATGTTGCAATACTCCGTAGAACCTTCGTTGCATCAAAGTAGGTGTAATGTCCTGATTCTGGCAGATGCAGATCTGGGCCTAGCGACACAGCTGATCACGGTGTAGGTACATGTGTCGGCACCGATACGTAACATACTTAATATTATAAAGTGTGTGTCTGTTTGTTTTATTTTTATTGAGTTGTAAGTATTGAAGTAGCATAGGCTACATTTCGTTTTTTTCCTAAAACAGGGGTAGAAGTTTGTATGGTGCATTTCGAGATTTTGTGACTAGCAAAACATCGTGCACTATTTTTTTTTTATTATTTGTAAATCTGCCTTTATTACTTTAAAACAGTACGAGAAACCGTGGGCAGAAGCTAGGCCAAGAATAAAATGTATTTAATTAATTGAATTGAATCTCAATGATTGAATGTATGAATGTAATTAATACCATTCTCGTTTGTTCCAGGATGTATCGGACCCGATGATCCTGCAGCCCGCGTCGCTGGACACGGTGACGCTGCGCCAGGCCGGCAAGCCGCTCGGGTTCGACGTCGTGCCCTCCTTCTGCGGACACCACCAGCTCGCAGACATACGGTTCGGCTCGCCCGCGCACGCCTCGGGGGCCGTGCACAACGGGGACGAGATAGTCCAGGTATACTTTCTATATTCTTTCACTAAACAGACTCAATAATAAAACCTACGCCAGTCTAACTACTGCTATAATCTGGGATCGCGGTTAGTATGGTTTGGATTTTGGAACGTGAAAGCCTTGTGTTTTGGCTCAAGGTAGGGCTTGCTGCATGATTTAGGAGTAGGATAAATGACAAAAGAATGTAAAAGACAATTTACGATGTGAACGATTCGTGTAAGTGTCCCGTGGTGTGAGTGTCCGTGTGTGCAGGTGGGCGCGGCGGTGGTGGTGGGGTGGAGCGGCGCGGCCGTGCTGCGCCAGTGTGCGCGCGCGGGGGCCCTCCTGGCGCTGCGGCTGCGGCGCCGCGCCGCGCTGCAGGCCGCGCTGGGGCCCGCCATGCGGCCCGCGCTGGCGGCGCGCCGACTGCTGCGGCCCGCGCCCGCGCCGCCGGCCCCGGCGCCCGCGCCCTCGTCGTCCGACGAGAGCGAGGCGCTGTCGCCGCCCGCGTCGCCCACGGCGCTGCAGACGGAGCACCCGCGGTACGTACTGGCCTGGCGCCGCAGTACTGGCCTGGCGCCGCAGTACTGGCCTGGCGCCGCAGTACTGGCCTGGCGCCGCAGTACTGTCCGCGACTCGCTCTGTACATGTCTTGTTTGTTGTCTTCAGAATGTATCCTCCCAAACCGAGAGCTGTAGTTCAGAGACGGCATACGATCAGTGGCGACAGTTCATTATACAAACGACCGAGTCATACTATCGAACAGGTACCTACAAACTGCAATGAATTCATACTAATGCAAAAAAAGATTCTGTTTTATCAATATTTCCTATCTCTATTCTAGTTCTGGCAAGAGCTGAAGCAGCAGAGGTGGGGCCGCGAAGGAGGCAGTATCAGTATGTCGCCTGCACCCGACGAGGCCGCCCTCTACGCGAGGGACAAGGTAATCTCATCTTACATCGTCCGTCTGCTCACTTACATTTTTTCATTTCATCTAAACATGTATATGTAAATGAATCACTTGAAATGTGCAAATGCGTATGATTAAGAAAAAAACTCATTACCAAAGTCACTTTCACTTTCATTATCCTTGTGGTAAAAGCGTACATTATGTATGATTATTTAAATTAGATAATAATTATTTTATATAATACAAATAGATTACTAGATGGTTATATCATGAACGTTACAGGCGGTGTCGTGCAGTACAGGGCTGGAGCTGTCGCCCCGGCCCCGCACGTGTCTGGGGGTAGTCCTGGACCGAGCGCGGCCCCCGCACGGGCCCCCGCCCGTACCTTCGGGGCCTGGCTTGGCGCCCCAGGGGCCCGGCCTGGCGCCTTCTGGCCCGCAGCCTTCCGACGAGTCCGCGGTGTCGGACCGCAATCGTGGTAAGCTGGACAAGAGTCACTCGACTCCTGCCTACGACTTCGATGCCAGTCTGGACGAGCCCGGCCCCCTAGCCGCGCAGACTATTCCGGAATCCCCCACTACACCCACGGACAGTCCACTGGCTCTACACGCGACCGACAAAGCGGACCGTATCCTTGACTTTAAGAAATCAAGTTCTCAAATCGGCGAGGCGATACAACGTGGAAGACGCAGTAATGCTGATGAAAGATCAGTACCAGCGGAACCTGACCCACACGCTGAAGACGACATGTTTGCGGGCGACCGCGACGAGGCCGCCACGGAGCGGATACTGGAGACCATCAACATCGCCATGATGGAGCATCGCCGCCGCACTGAGCGGGCCGGCACTGAGACCGACTCGTACAGGTTCGTGACACTACTGTATTATCTAATGTGTTGGTAAAACTTTATTTGAGGAGTAATTTATTGGTGGTTGTCTGTAAAAATTCCACACTTAATAAGAAAAATGTGCAAAAATCCTAATTTTAAGTTGTTTGACTGGAGGGGAATATGAGATGGAGATGTGACAGTGTGTGATACGTGTGATGACGTTCCAGGCCTCAGCCAGCGCCGCGCCCCGCGCCCCCGCCGCGCCCAGCCGCGCTAGGGGCGGCCGGGGGCGCGGGGGCGAAGCCCGGGGGCCGCGCCCCCCCCCAGTTCCCCGTACTGCGCGCCGTCCCGCGGCCGGAGGACCCCCCTACGTCACCCCTGAAGCCCATCAGACCCGTCGACGCTACACATGTAAGGCATAACTTTACAATTAATGATTGTTCGTTGTGATTGGATTGGATTATCTTCAGTATTTAAGACATTTTGTTGCTTATTTTTATTTCAGATTTCAGTACCTCTTCGTCATATAACGAAGCACGACATTCGAATAATACCGAGTGAGCGTCATGAGATGCCAGCCATTAATAGTCCCGTCAGCGAGCCCGTGGCAATGGGCCTGGGCAGCCCAGGCGCGGGCCCCGCCGGGTCCCTACGGCGGCGCTCGCCCGGGCCCCCGGGCGCCGGCACCGGGGACATCGTGATGGGGGCCCACGTCAACACAGACTCGTCCTCCGGGAAAGGTCACGCCTTGTCACCTACCAGTGCAGTCCGCGGTATCTTCCCCAACTCCAAGTCCAGGAGTTTGAAGAAGAAGAGTTCTATTCTCGCCAGTGAGTATAGTATTTGGTCTACCATGGTGGCGGGGTGTATGTAACGTCCCGTCGTGATTGGACTGGTTACTGTCCTACACGTCATATCCGAGGACGGGTGCCTTCTGGCGGAGCAGGTCGCCTCGCCCACCGTGGTGGTGGGCTGATTCAGTAGGGTTAGTACTTTGATTACATAATAAAATATCTTCTAAATTCCTTATTAAATGTGCTACTTCTATTGCATTACCTATCTCTATTCTGTTTTCCAAATCCTTGTCTCAAGGTGTTGTCCCCAGAGTGTGGAAATCTGCGTTTATTACACCGGTCTATAAGAAGGGGTCTAAAACTGAAGTTACTAACTATAGGCCCATATCTAAATTGTGCATTATTGCTAAATTATTTGAGCGTATTATTTATAATCAGTTATACCCTGCTCTTGCACCTTCGCTTGGCTCCTTCCAGCATGGTTTTTTGAGGGGACGGTCTACAACTTCTAATCTGATTTTGTTTAATGATTTTATTACTAAAGCTATGGATGATGGTAGCCAGGTCGATGTGGTTTACACTGATTATAGCAAAGCATTCGATCGTATTGATCACGACTTTGATCAAGAAGCTAAACTCTATAGGTATTCATGGGGACCTCTTGAGGTGGTTCTCCTCATATATCAATAATAGATCGCAGGCTGTAGTGATCAATAATTATATATCTAGTTGGGTCTCAGTGCCTAGCGGAGTGCCTCAAGGTTCGTTACTTGGGCCCTTCTTATTTGTGATCTATGTGAACGACATCGATCAGTGCCTTCGATCATCCAAATTACTGTGTTTCGCCGATGACATGAAAATCTTTGCCAAAATATCATCGGTCGGTCGAAGATGAATTAGCACTTCAGGCTGATCTACATCGTCTTGAAGTCTACTGTAGGGCTAATAAACTCGATCTGAATCCATCTAAGTGCTCAGTAATTACTTACACTAGGAAACGTGCCGCTCTAGTCAACACCTACATCTTATCGGGCCAGACTTTGCCAAGGTGTGATACCATCCGTGACTTAGGTGTTCATCAAGATAGCAAATTAGTTTTTGACACCCACGTTGACACTATTATTAAAAGCCACTAAATTGCTTGGGTTTATTATGCGTCTCTCTAAGTGCTTTAATAACGCCAAAACACTAAAAATTTTGTATTGCACCTTTGTTAGAAGTCAGCTTGAGTATGCGTCTCAGATATGGAACCCACGTTACCATAAGTACATCGACCGCATAGAAAACATCCAAAGACGTTTCATTAAATATCTCTGTTTTCATCAAAAAATTCCATATCACCCTGTCGATTATCTTCGACTCTGTAAGAAATATCATTTATTACCTCTCAAAGATCGACGTGAGATTGCCGACTTTTTGTACGTATTAAAAATCTTAAATAACAATATTGACAGCCCCGAACTTCTATCTAAATTTCACTTTAATGTACCACAAAAAATATTCCGCAATAACCCACCCTTACGTGTGCCTCTAGCATCAACAAATTACAGACAGAATAGTTTTATACGAGCGGGTAGACAGTTCAATAATATATGTAAGCAGTATGACTTTGATCCCTTTGCGACTAGCGTGGCGTCGGCCAGAAGGCGCATAAGCCTCAGGTTTTTTAAGTAGCATCTCAATTGTATCCCTAGTTTTCGGAAATGTTTATATTATTTTTATCTTTCACTTATTCTTGTAACTAAAAGTTTCTAGTTAATACTAGTTTCTAGTTGATCCTTGCAATTAACTGGTATAATAAACTGTACAATTTTAATAAGCTGTAACCACTGCGAAAATTGTGATATGCTCACCTATCAAATTTAAGTCTGTCACTATACGTGAGGACTTGTAATTGGCTTTCAGTAGTTTATGTTCACCTCTATTTTTATGTAGTTTTAGCTGTAAGTCCTCCAGGGTGTAATAAATAAATAAATAAATAAATAAATAATGTGTAGATGGAGTGTCAGTTTACAAAAAGCAGTCTAAAAGTTTGCAGTGAAGTGTTCACTGCAATGCATTTTCCCGTCAAGTAGTTACTAATTGTGTCACCTAGGCGTCACTACGTGTATGCACGCTACAAAATAAACAAAAAAGTACACTGCAAAGATGTTGTTGATGTTCGGCCACTTGCTCCGTGCAAATGCTAAAATTATAAATGAAGGTTAAAAAGTACTAAACAGATCACTTATCCGTCGCTAAGTTATTAAAAAATACATTTATTCAATTTATGTTTTTGTCCTAACTAATTGCCGCCATATTTTATTAGTGTTGCCAATTTATTATTTAACATTCCCTTCTCACGGGTCTCATAAAGAGGAAGGAAATTGACAAAAAAATCTCACTTGGTTGTAAATTAAAAATAAAATAATATTTTATTAATAACTGAGCTAACACTTAACTACGCTTTAATGTAGGTACTATTTATTCGAACTGACTAAAAAAAAAAGGTTGGTTTCGATCCTTGTTTTTAAGTTCGAATCGATCGAAGTTATATTTTTTGATGCAACTGTAATAATATTTTACAAATTGGTTTTATACAAATGATGTAAAAAATGTCTGAATATGAATATTTCATTATTCATATCGCACGGAAAATGAATTCCTTATATGATAAAATATAAATATCAATAAAGTGTTCAATAAAAATAACAACTTAAAAATCGAATTCAAAGAGATGGTTACATTTTTTATTTTACTTTTAAACGGTCTGGTATATATACTCAAATATTTATGTGAGATTTAAAGGGAATTGACTATAATTGGTGCATTTCTTTTGGAAATCTCAGTCTGGACTGAGTTATGAGCGTCGAAAGGAGTTTTTTCTATTCAAATTATTCATATTTTTGTCACTAACTCCAAATTGCGCGCCACTGTACGCCGGGCACAGGAACACCATATCACACCACAGTATCACAACATATTCATATTGCCAGGCACTAATTTTTATTTGCTATTTTCTCTCAGTCGATAATTTGTGAGATGCTTCTAGGAGTTATGTCATGAACCTTCATGAGCGTCTGCTGTGGTACCAGTGGTGGGTTGAGTAGTGGTCGCCGTCCAAATATTTAAAAAAGTATTATTTGTTTGCCGTTGACTCCTGGTGGGAGACTCATCTTCTTTATAGTTAGCATAATCTTTTGAAGAAAGGAAACCGTCGACTTTGTAAAGTGATGGACTATACGTCAGATGAGCGCATAATTTTTTCATATAATGTGGTCAGTCGAAATATAATCCATCAGTTTGTGACTGAATGACGGTGTCTTTGTACAGGATCTTATGCTAGCTGTAAATTAAAGTATTAACTGTAGTTAGGTTAGTTACTAATCGGAACTTAGTCGGGAGAAGTAGACAGAAAAATATTTTTTTCATGTATCCGGTACCGACGCCGCAGCTGACGAACATAGCATATCATATATCATGATAGGGCTCAGTAAAGGTTTTCGACTGAGAGGAAATTGGTCATGAAAATCTGTCATAGGCCTTAAACCGTATACATATAAAGTGAATACGCTAGCCAATCAAGCGAAATGTTTTTTTTTTATTTCGTCAGAGGCCAGTTAATGGTTCACTCTGTTCTGATTCCGTGGCCAAAAAAAAAGTTAAGTATGTCCACTCCAAGTCCACAATAAGCTTTATTATATTCATTGAAATCGTTTATAAACATTTATTACAAAATATTTCTGACAAGTAAATGAAGAAATATGTGTTGCGTACGGTCACCATCATCAAAATAACAGGAATAATATAGCACTATTTTCACACCTTTGAACTGATTTAACTCGGTTTGGACTGTGTTTTTAATATAAGACCCCGTATATTTTTTTGTTTGTAATATTATTCTGCATCAGTTTTTCCACATTTGATCAACTGCCGCGAAAAAATTTAAAAGGCACCACGCTCCATACAAAGGTCTTTCTCATTTGATGGCATTTTTGGTGCGAGTAAACCACAAGCCGCACGCACACATGCAAGAAATTTTGGAACGTCATTTTTGTTGGTATTGTATTGTGACGTTTTATCTAGACATTATATCATCAAAGGGTTAGTGTAAGATAATAAGATTATAATAGGTAACAACATCAAGTACTCTGTGTAGAGATATTAGTGGTTAGCGTAGCATGTAAGATCTTTATAAAAATGATTTGACCACAATGAAAACAATGCAACTAATTATGTAACAAAAGCACGGACACGAGTCCGTGGAGAAATACAATTTATATATAAACAAGTGTCCCCTCCACAGAGCGGCGCGCGGTCCCGGCGCGAGCGCTCGCCCAGCGCGCGGCCGCCGGCGCCGTCTGGCAGCGCGTGCGCGCGGGGGCCGGGCGGGCCGGGCGGGGGCGGGCCGGGCGGGCCGGGCGGGGGCGGGCGGGCGGGCGGGCGGGGCGGGCCGGCCCCGCGCTGGGCGCGGCGCCAGCTCGTGCTGGCCCACAACCTGCTGTACTGCTACCGCAGCATGGCGTGCTCGAAGGCGGCCTGCATGGTGTACCTGGCGGGCTTCACGGTGAGCGCGGCGCCCGAGGTCAAGTCCCGCGCGCACGCCTTCAAGGTGTACCACACGGGCACGGCCTTCTACTTCGCCTGCGACTCGCGGGACGCCCAGCTGGCCTGGATCCAGCTCATACACCGCGCCACGCTGCTGCCCTCGCTCGCCACCAACGTAAGTCATCGTGTCAGCTCGTACAGATAGACCTTCTACTTCGCCTGCGACTCGCGGGACGCGCAGATTTATTTAAGCACGAACCAATAACATTCTATCAATTTCAAAATGGGAAATAATTTTTAAAAGATTTTTTCCAGATGGACGTATCGAAGCAGTTCTCGGAGACTGACTACTCGGAGACGGAGTCGGACACGGAGAGTCCGCAGCCGGAGGCCCGCGAGCGCGACAAGGACAAGTCCAAGTTCGGCTCCCTGAAGAAGCTCACGACCCGCATGCAGCGCGCAGACTCCGACGCCGCGCACTCGTCCACCTCGCTCGACCGCAAGTATCTGCGCTTCTTCTACAGGAACAAGCCCAAGGACGACGCCAAACCCAAGGTGCGCGCCTGCTTCGGTCTGCATGTCAATGGAGCCGAACTTGTCTGCTTTCTCTTGGCCTATTCTTTTCATTTTCTCGTTGCGATAAAGCTAAAAGTCCTTGAACTATTCAATTTGCAGAACAAACAATCTGGTGTCCCGGTACCGACCGAGCACTACCGCAGCTACCGACGAGTGGCCAGCCCCGCGTCCCCCGCGGCCCCGGCGCCGGGCCCCGGGCCGGAGGGCAGCGAGGCGGGCCCCGCAGCCCCGCGCCTGCCCAAGCCCATCAACTACATCCACGCGTCCAACCCCAACCTGCTGGACTTCGACAACAGCGACTTCGTAACCAAACCCACACTACACGTGCCCAAACCTAAGGCTAAAGTAATTTCAACTTTAACTATTGTACCCTTGAGTAAAGGATTTCAAAAGTATTCTTCTTAAATCAAACTTATCTTCTGCCCGATTGATAAATAATGAAGTGTATCTTAAAGTTCGTATAATATTATTCACCAAAGTGTAGTAGAGCGGTGTGTTTCCATGAGTCGTGTCCCCGCAGGGTGACGGCGTGGGCCTGGTGACCCTGGAGCAGTTCATGCTGGACAAGCAGGCGGAGGAACGGCGCGCGGCCTACAGCGGCCGCGTACTGCTGGGGGTCGAGGCCTCGCGGGCAGACCTGCGGGCGCGGCTACTGCATGTCGGTCAGTACTCATACACTACTGCATGTCGGTCAGTACTCATACACTACTGCATGTTGGTCAGTACTCATACACTACTGCGTGTTGGTCAGTACTCATACACTACTGCATGTCGGTCAGTACTCATACACTACTGCATGTTGGTCAGTACTCATACACTACTGCGTGTTGGTCAGTACTCATACACTACTGCATGTCGGTCAGTACTCATACACTACTGCATGTTGGTCAGTACTCATACACTACTGCATGTTGGTCAGTACTCATACACTACTGCGTGTTGGTCAGTACTCATACACTACTGCATGTTGGTCAGTACTCATACACTACTGCGTGTTGGTCAGTACTCATACACTACTGCGTGTTGGTCAGTACTCATACACTACTGCGTGTTGGTCAGTACTCATACACTACTGCGTGTTGGTCAGTACTCATACACTACTGCATGTTGGTCAGTACTCATACACTACTGCGTGTTGGTCAGTACTCATACACTACTGCATGTTGGTCAGTACTCATACACTACTGCGTGTTGGTCAGTACTCATACACTACTGCATGTTGGTCAGTACTCATACACTACTGCGTGTTGGTCAGTACTCATACACTACTGCATGTCGGTCAGTACTCATACACTACTGCATGTTGGTCAGTACTCATACACTACTGCATGTTGGTCAGTACTCATACACTACTGCGTGTTGGTCAGTACTCATACACTACTGCATGTTGGTCAGTACTCATACACTACTGCGTGTTGGTCAGTACTCATACACTACTGCGTGTTGGTCAGTACTCATACACTACTGCGTGTTGGTCAGTACTCATACACTACTGCATGTTGGTCAGTACTCATACACTACTGCATGTTGGTCAGTACTCATACACTACTGCGTGTTGGTCAGTACTCATACACTACTGCATGTCGGTCAGTACTCATACACTACTGCATGTTGGTCAGTACTCATACACTACTGCATGTTGGTCAGTACTCATACACTACTGCGTGTTGGTCAGTACTCATACACTACTGCATGTTGGTCAGTACTCATACACTACTGCGTGTTGGTCAGTACTCATACACTACTGCGTGTTGGTCAGTACTCATACACTACTGCGTGTTGGTCAGTACTCATACACTACTGCATGTTGGTCAGTACTCATACACTACTGCATGTTGGTCAGTACTCATACACTACTGCATGTTGGTCAGTACTCATACACTACTGCATATAGTAGTATTCCTGTGTGAGCTACGAAAACCATAATAATATGATGCGATGTTACGCACGCTAATCATCGCAATTAGATCAACAACCAAATCTAGAGATGTTTTCGTTGGACGTAACATAGTACGTGGTTTGAAAGCGATCACAAGCGACAACAAGATAACATAAAACCAGACAGTTGACAAATCACATAGGACGGTTGTTGTCTGTAGCACGTGGCGTCGTATTCATGTTTTTCCGTAGGCGTTCAGTAATTGCCGAGCAGATACGAATACATGATTTTGAGTGTAATTACAACGTGTCCCCTTGCAGTGCCGGACGTCATCTACGGCGAGCTGTGTGCCGGGCCGCACGGGTGAGGCGTTACTTACTGTACTACTGGTGGTTGGCTCACCAGGTGGCGCTGATTTAACTAAATGTTCAATAGTGTGACAGTAGCTAATTTTATTCCATATTTACAAAGATAAGAGATCTGTACCAGCGCTATCTGGTGAGAAAAAAAGCTAAGAGAACTAAAACTATTTTCTAATTTATGCAATTTCAGTTACGAAAAGATAGTGTACAGAGATGAGGCTACTAGCAGTAGTTCGACACAGAGCGGGGCCGGCGCCGCGCAGGCTGGGCATAGCGCCGCGCCACCGCCCGGCCACGGGGGACTCGGTGCCCAGCCCGGACTAGGGGGGCAGGTTGGGCAGGCGGGGCAGGCGGGGCTGGCGGGGCTGGCAGGGCCCGCGGGGCCGGCAGGGTCTGCGGAGCCGAGCGGGCAGGCGGGCGGGGCGGGCGGTGCGGGCGGTGCGGGCGGGGCGGGCGGCGCGGGCGGGGCGCGGCGCGCGGCAGCGGAGCGGTGGAGGGACTCACTGCGACGGAACGACAAGGTGGAGCACGCTACTATACATTACGGCGCTTACAAACAATTAGGCTAAGGATTCGCGGCGTGATTTACTCCCGCGCCCGCTGCGTGCCCGCAGCCGCAGTAGAATATAGATACGATGTACGTAAAAAATCTAATCACATTTCACGGCGCCTTTTACCCCCGCGGCGGTAGCGATTGTTTGCGGCCCGCGCTGTCGGGCGGCGGGCGGTGGGCGGGCGGTTGGCGGGCGGTCGCAATAAAATAAAGGCGAGCCATAATCACAACGGTGGTGGCTGCGAGATCGCAGAACAGTGCAGTCCCGTGAGTTTTGAAAATTCCGCCTCCATTCCGCCATCGTGGTGGCCGCGGGGAAAGATTGCGCCGTGAGTCCTTAGCCTTACTACATCCTATTATATAATTTTTGTACATGTATATCTTTGTCAATCACTCTCCTTATAAGTATGATACACCACGTAATGACATCTGTCAATTGTACCCGATGTCGAAGTATTGACATGTCTACAATGAGTGCAATGTCGACAGGTCCACTGGAGTCGCGCCGAGCCCAAGCCCGCGCCACTAGACAGGTAACTACAGTACTGTATAATGTTACTACTCACACTACTACATAATGTAATCGTGAACACTAATATACTAATATATTACATACAGCATAGAAATGTACCTAAGACAGTACAATGTATTCATTATGAATTAATATTTGACGACTTTAAATCTGGGTTCTGCCGTTCAAGTTTAATTTGTTTGGTGTTTTTAGAACATTATAGTAATCCGTTCCGTCCCGCCCCCAGACGCTACCCCCACCTGCAGTGTCCGCCCACGTTCCAGCCGGAGACATACTCGCTCCTGCGCCCGCCGCACCACTGACGGTACATGCAGGACATGCAGGACATGCAGGACATGCAGTAACAATCCGCGCCCTACAAATGCTTACAAACTATGAAGCCTGTCCACGAAGCCGCAACGTTAAAGCCGCCTTAGTTTTTAAAAAAATGTATACATTCATCAAATGACGCAACGTGGCCAGTGGATCGAACATACATACAGCGCGGCGTCGACAGTCAATACTGTCGGAAAATATTTCCTCACCAACTGCGTACGCTCAAATATTATGTAATTGTACATAAGTAGAGGTAACTACTACACCAGTTGTCTTAGACATTGTATCACATTCAAATTACAGAACATATCTATCGCTACATTGTATGGTACATATATAAGTGTGTCGCATTCTACGAATTTTATAAAAATGGCATGTTTAATCTGGATACCAAGCTAAAATTTTGTCGTATCATTCAGTAATTTATACTATATTTTTTAGAAATATTAAATACGAATGAGTCATCATCCAATTATAAACTTTACTGTATCCATCATAAGTGACGCGCGAGATTGACTGCTAACATGCGTAGACAAATTGTTTAACAAATCAATAGACTTGATATTTTGATAATATTGACTGACCAGTGCCTTTAGCCAAATGCCACTTTAGCGCTTGTCTACAGAGAGAGTAGAAAACTAAATGTATGGGGATGACACTCACAAATGTCAAAATTTACGTCAATTCCATATAATTTGGTTTTTTATTCTACATGCAGACAAGCGCTAAATGGCATTTTGCTAAAGGCACAGGGGGCTTAGACAAAGTAACAATTTAAAAACGATAACGAAGTTAGTTAAGACTAAAATGTATGGGATTGACATAGGCCGCGTTAAGTCACGTGGTCAATCGACATCGTTATCGCAATTTGGTAGACAATGTTATATTCATAACACTATACAGTAACGAATCGTTATCGTGTTTATTCCATATAAATGCGTAGACAAGCAGACCTTTCAGTGTTCGCCAACGCCTCGATCGTGATCGCCAAAAACGATAACGAAACGAATGCTAAAAGGTTGTAGTTATTGAAACAATATGGCCGAATTTCATTATTGATCCTGTTATTATTTATTTTGTGTTAGAGGCAATACACTAATACAGATCAAATAGATTTAAAAATGCATTCTCTGCATTTATTGTGGGCTGCACACAATGAGACCGACTGGGAGAGGCGCCAAAAATGGTTAAGACAGCGACGGTTCAATATAGGTACTTCATAGTTAAGATCGCGTCATTGTTTACATTACATACTCATGAATGAAACTTAGATTTACTTACGTTTCTATGGAAACGTAAACGAGTATATGTACTCGAGCAGCGTTGCGAATTGTTCAGGACTTGCTCGCCCTCTTGATTACATGTTTTATCATTAAATATTAAAATAGATAAGAAATAGAGAGATCCATCATCGTTTGAACACCAGTCACTTATAAAATGAGTCTATTTTGATTATCATTAAGTTTTGGAAACGATCTAAAAGTAATAACACTCTATTCACTTACGACTGTAAAATTATCGTTTATATTTAACTTAAAAACAATTAAACGCAACACTCACTTTCTTATTAATAAAGTTTTAAAACATCAATATCTCGCGAGTTTGATCCGATTTGAACTTTTTGACTGTCACTGACAGCTGGATTTTCGATACCATAACCAATATTTTTGTTTTTTGCCGAATAAAGAATTCGACACAACGATCACGACCATAGTGTTACATTGGCTAGGAAATGTTTATCGTTATCTCAGAGACGATGGCGAATTTACTTTTCGTTTCGCTATTAAGCGATGTTACTTTGTCTAAGGACCCAGGTATCACTTGATTGGTTTGTTAATCAATAGCTTGTATATTTTCATTAATGTAATAGTTATATCTGTTCCTAACTATTCTAATTTAACTTCTTCCTGTTTTATTCCAAGTTATTCGGAATCTGCGCCCACCAATACTTTCTTGTTTCATTGGATGGAATGTCCAACGTCAATCTTTCTCCTTCACATCATTCCTCACACAATCTATATATCTTTTTCAATCGTCTCCCTCGTTTTCATCCTTATAGAAAATCGAAGGCAGATGATCAAATATTTCATCCAGAGTAGATCTGCAGCGAAATGTCTTTTCCTTGTACGAAGACGAGGCAGCAACATTCGGTATCTGTACACATGCGACACACTTATACAAAGATCATTTTAGTTTGTAGTACTTATGAAAAATGTAGGCGCCTATAAAAATAAAATCATGCTAATTGTTATCTTTATAAAACACTAGCGACATCTGTGTCATGAGAACACCTCACGGTAATGTAAGTTGAGGTCGCGCCGGGACGACATGGTCCCGGGCGACCGGGGGAGTCGCGGCACAACGCTGCTTTTATATACTTTATTGTATGTACAAATTGTATAACGGAAAGTTAGGCTACGAGTTATATTGATATAACATTATTATGTAAATTGGTAAGCAATACACATGAGGCACTTCCGTACCGCCTAGGTACCTTGTAATTGTAACATAAATTATATGATATCCAAATATTAGATAGGTACTTAATACTCTTTACTTATTAGATCTTAGGCATAACTTGGACGATTCAAGCAGAACATACATCTGAACAGATTGGTCGCAACCAAATCACTTTGCTATTACAATAACAACCACAGAACGCATTCAATTATACTGAGGATAAGAAAAAACTATTTACATGTAGTTAGTAATCAGTTATATAAATAAGTATTAGATAGTATAGAGCCAAAGGACTCCCAGGTGCTGAGCGAGGCTGGCGCAGTGCGCAGTGCTCCGTGTACAAAGTCGGACAAGGCTGAATAAGATATTTATATCAAGTAGATAGATATATTGTGCACACGTTACTTCAATCAATGTACATTTTTATACAAACATGGCTTCCAATGCGAACTTTGTGTCTGACATTATTCTGTTGACATCGCAGACATAAAGAATGTTGATCTTGAAAAGTTTAGATAAAATGAAATATTGTTAATTTTAAAAGAAGACTGTATGGTGCATGGTTTCGCACAAGTGCTGCCGTCAACTGCGCATACAGTACGGTCCCAATGAAATACAGTCACTTGTAGGTATACATTATACATATCGGCTTCGGTTTGATTTTAAATCCTTTTTGTATATTAGTATATATTTAGAGCTAGAGTAGTCTCTAGCTCTAAAATTAATTGCGAATAGGGACATACTGTTAGAGCGCAAGTAGATGTGCGTGCCGTGTGTGACGTCATATCTGCTAGTTATACAAACGACCGGGATGGCTAGTTATACACTGCCGCGGGCCGTCCTGTCAGCAACGCTAATATTATTGACCAGCCGACGACTGTTCTGAGGAATCTGATTTTATTAGATGTGATAAGTATAATATTGTCGTCATAAGTAATACGTACGTATTTAAGTTATCATGTACGCGTCCAGTATGTACGTACGTCTGTAATACTTACAATGTTACGAACGGCTATTAAATATATTTTATACAAAAATGACATTTTATTCATTGTATCCTCATTGCCTGCTCCTGCATTGTTGCTCCTTATGTCCATTGTTGCACTTAGGATCATCATTAATTTACTATACCTAGCTATCCTAGGCTGCATTTTATATTAAATTTTAATGCTTAGTATCGTCATAAAATAACAATTAGTGCAAACAAAACGTTTGTACGACACGATGCACGCTACTCGTCGTGGGTGCTGGAAATACCAACTACCTACTACTAATGTGAGTTAAATATTTTGTTGCTGTAACCATTCTAAAGTTTAACCATGCAACTATTCACAAATGTGGCCGAACTATAAAGATATTGAGCTTTGTATAATGGGTATAAAGTAGTCGTTTTTAATAACTATTATACTTCATTTTTTCTCAATTCTTCAACTTCGTGCTCCATTGACCGCATCATCGCTTACCACCAGACGAGATAGTGGTCAAACGATGGCCCATCAAATATAAAAAAGAACTCATGGCTTAGGTATATATTATGTACCTTGTTGAGAGTACCTACTAGTTGTAATTGAAGATTTAGGTGTAATTTATATGAAGTACTATATGACTAGTTATAGTATTTTATAATTTTGGAAGAGCTCTGCATCTATAATATTACTACATGCAATTCGCTCCCAGTGGCGGGAGGTAGCTGAGCATAGTGAGCGTGTACTCGTTTTGCAGGAGTTACGTGACGGACAGCCCCCCCCCCCCTCGCGCTGCCCGGCCTTGCCCTCGCAATCCAAATCCAAATAAATAATATATTATGTATACATACGTATAAATTGGATCGAGAAGCGATTGCTCGGCTCCGCGGGGACTTGAATTACGGTGAAGACATTCACCTTAAAATATTGGCCGCGCGCGCTCGATTTATGTAAGCTCGCCGCGCTTGCGCACACGAGGTTGGGCCACCACGACCAGCTCAAGGAGCTCCCTGTCACATCGTCGAAGCCTCCAACTGACGTGTGGTTTACATTACACATATTTACTTCTACGTACCTAATTCATATTACGATTTCGTTTTGGTTCTATGCATTTTATATAAACCCACATCAATTCTCCAAAGATATGCGAGTTTTTAATTAACAGACGTCTATTAATTTACGATCGTATCACCTCGAACACTTTCAAGCTACCTGGATCACTTTCGAGCGTTACTCAATTACTTTCGAGTGTTTTTATAATATAGGTACCTGATCTCTGATCCAGTCAAGGAATATAAATACGACATTCTGTAAGTTTTACGTCATTATAAAATCACTGAAACTCATAACCTGTCATAAGAAGTGGGAACTATTAATGTTAGTAGGATTTATTGACCTCTAACTGAAATAATTGATATCTCGCAAATTATTCAAACAACTAATTACACTAACAACAATAAACAGAATATTAATATTAGTCATTGAAAACCAACATTAATTAATTTTTGTCTGTTGAGGCCAGGATTTGCTGATCCCCCTCTCAGACCACCGAGGCACCGGTG